AGAAACTGAAACCAACATTCTGCTGTCTACAAGAAACTCATAGGAACAGTCAGAGCAAACATAGACTCAAAGTGAAAGGATGAAAAACAATCCTGCAAGCAAACAGATACCTCATAAAAGCTCGGATGGCCATACTAGTATAGGATCACAGTCCTCCCGTTCATCGATTTGCTCGAGCAGACCCAGTAATGTCTCCATCATGAGACTTGTTGTTACTGTGTTTGGCATATCGAATACGTCACAGGTAGCTTGCCAGGCTCTGCCGTGCGGGCGAAATTCTCTCAGTAGCTTGCCAGGCTCTCTGAGAGGGGCAGAGGAATCGAACTCGGGCCGGCCATGTTGGCCGCTTGTAAGGCAAATGCCCAACCACTGGAGGATAGTACATCAGGTAGGGCATTTGCCTTGCACTCGGCAAACCTGGGTTAGATCCTGGGTATCCCTTATATACTAGTATATGACAACTTAAATTTCATGTTGAAAAAGATTAGAAGGGACAGCAAAGGCCATTTTCTATTTATCAAGGGATACATACAACAGGAAGAAATCACACCCTTAAATTTATACGCACCTAATGAGGGACCAGCCAAATACTTAAAACAACTGCTAACAGAGTTTAAGGAGGACATTGCTAGCAGCACAATAGTAGCTGGAGACTTCAACATCACCTTATCACCTCTGGATAGATTAACAAGAACAAAACTCAGCAAGGAAACATTGGCTTTGAAAGAAGAAATAGAAGAGAGAGTGCTAATAGATCTATACAGGTCTTTACAACCCAAAAAGAAAGAATTCACATTCTTCTTCAGTGCACATGGAACATTTTCCAAAATAGACCATATGGTAGGCCACAAACATACCTCAATTAAATAAGGAAGATAGAAGTAGTATCAACAATCTTTTCAGATCACAATGCACTGAAGATAAAAGTGAATTACACAAAGACACCGAGAAACAAATCAAACACCTGGAAATTAAACAACTCAATGTTAAACAACAAGGGGGTCAGGAAGGAAATCAAGATGAAATCAAAAGATACCTTGAAATAAATGAGAATGAAGACACGAGCAACCAAACCTATGGGACGCAGCTAAAGCTGTGCTAAGAGGAAAATTTATAGCACTGCAAGAATTCCTAAGGAAAGAAGAAAGGGCCTACAGGGATAACCTAATTACACAACTCAAGATCTTAGAAAATTACCAACAAAAGGAACCCGAATTTGGTCGAAGGAAAGAAATAATAAAACTTAGAAATTAAGTACATGGAAACCCAAAAAACAATCCAAAAGGTCAATGAAACCAAGAGCTGGTTCTTTGAGAAAATAAAAATATTTATAAACCACTAGCAAGACTCACAAAGAAAGAGAGAGAGAACCCTAATAAACCAAATCATAAATGAAAAAGAGGAAATCATAACAGAAACCAATGAAATTCAAAAGATCATCAGAGACTATTTTGAGAGTCTGTATGCCATGAAACAAGAGAACCTAGAAGAAATTGATAAATTCCTGGATTCCTATAATCTCCCAAGATTGAACCAAGAAGACTTGGGATACCTGAATAGATACATTCTCATCAAGGAAATTGAAGTGGTAATCAAAAGTCTTCCCCAAAACAAAAGCTCAGGCCTAGAAGAATTCACTAGTGAATTCTTCCAAACATTTAAAGACCTTTTGCCAGAACTCCTTAAGCTTTTACAAGACAATTGAAAAAATAGAAACTCTCCCAAACAGCTTCTAGGAGGCATATATCTCCCTAATACCAAAAGCAAACATGACACCACCAATAAAGAAAACTATAGGCCAATATCCCTGATGAACACAGACGCGAAGATCCTCAAAAAATATTAGAAAATAGAATCCAACAACTAATCAAATAGATCAAACACCACGACCAAGTGGGATTCATCTCAGGGATGCAAATATGGTTTAACATAATAAATAAACATAATCCATCATATCAACAAAAGTAAAGATAAAAACCATATGATCATATCAATAGATGCGGAGAAAGCTTTTGACAAGATCCAGCACCTGTTTATGATGAAAACTCTCACCAAAATGAGTTTTGAAGGAACTTTCCTCAAGATAGTCAAAGCCATCTACAACAAACCCATGGCAAGCATTATCCTCTTTGGGGAAAAACTAAGGGTCTTCCCTCTAAGATCAGGGACAAGACAAGGATGCTCACTATCAACACTTCTGTTTAACATAGTACTGGAAGTACTTGCAACAGTGATTTTGCAAGAAAAAAAGGCATCGAGATAGGAAAGGAAGAAATCAAGCTCTCACTATTCACAGATGATATGATACTATATCTCTAGAACCCTAAATGCTCTACAAGAAACTCCTAGAAACAATAGACTTGTACAGTAAAGTTGCAGGCTATAAAATTAGTGGCCAAAAATTAGGCCAAAAATCCATGGCCTTCCTATACACAAATAATGAGAAAGAAGAAAGTGACAGGAAAAAACCAATCCCTTTCACAATTGTGCCCCAGAAAATCAAATACCTCAGAATCAGCCTAACTAAAGAGGAAAAGGACCTCTACAATGAAAATGAAAAAATGCTACTCCATGAAATAAAAGGGGACACAAGGAAATGGAAACATATCCCCTGCTCATGGATAGGAAGAACTAACATTGTCAAAATGACAATACTCCCCAAAGCATTATACAGATTCAATGTGATCGCTATAAGGATACTCATGAAATTCTTCAAAGAAATAGATCAAGCACTCCTGAAATTCATGTGGAAAAACAAATACCCACGGATAGCTAAAGCAATTCTTGGGAAAAAGACATGGGTAGGCATTACACTCCCCAACCTCAAACTCTACTACAGAGCGGTAATAATTAAAACAGGTAATAATTAAATAATGGTACTCAAAGAAAGGCAGAGCTGCAGACCAATAGAACAGGGTGGAATTTTCGTACACACAACCCCAAATACATGAACATCTAATCTTTGATAAAGGAGCAAAAAATGTGAAGTGAACCAAGGAAAGCCTCTTCAACAAATAGTGCTGTCATAACTGAACAACCACATGCAAAAATATGGGCTTAGAACTCAACCTACTACCATGAACAAAAGTCAGATCAAAATGGATTAAAGATCTCAACATTAGGCCCAAATCCATAAGGTGCGTCGAAGACAAGGTCCGCAAAACCCTCCACAATATTGGGCTAACAGTATCTCAAACATGACACTCCACTGACCATCCAAGGGGAAACAGATATAAACAAATGGAACTATCTCAAATTAAGAAGCTTCTGCACCTTAAAAGATACAGTAACCAGAATTCAAAGACAATCTACAGAATGGGAAAGGATATTCACCCAATACCCATCTGATAAGGGGTTGATATCAAGGATATACAAAGCACTGGTTGAACTGCAGAAGAAAACATCCAACCCCATCACAAAATGGAGTGATTAAGTGAACAGAAACTTTCACAAAGAAGAAATACGAATGGCAAAAAGGCACATGAGAAAATGCTCTACATAACTAATCATCAGGGAGATGCAGATCAAAACAACAATGAGATATCATCTCACACCACAGAGATCGGCCCACATCCAAAATAACAAAGGCAATTGGTGTTGGAGCTGATGTGATGAGAAAGGGACTCTCCTTCAATGCTGGTGGGAATTCTTACTGGTTCAGCCCTTTTGGAAAACGGTATGGACAAATCTCAAAAAATTAGAAATTGAGCTCCCATTTGATCCAGCAATACCACTCCTGGGAATATATCCCAAAGAGGCAAAAAAGTATAGCCGAAATGACATCTGCACTTCTGTGTTCATTGCTGCACTGTTCACAATAGCCAAAAATCTGGAAAAATCCTGAGGGCCGTAGAATAGATGACTGGTTAAAGAAACTTTGGCACATCAATACAATTTAGTACTATGAAGCTGTTAGAAAAGATGAAGTCATGAAATTTACATACAAGTGGTACTACATGGAAAGTATCGTGCTAAGCAAAATGAGTCAGAAAGAGAGGGACAGACATAGAAAGATTATATTCATCTGGGGAATATAAAATAACAAAATAGGAAACTAACATCCAAGAATAGCTGGGATAATTACCAGGAGGTTCACTTCATGCTTGAAGGTCAGCTGCACATGCTAGGGGAAAGGGCAGCTCAGATAGAGAAGTGAACACCAAGTAAAGGGTGTTGTGAGGATTCTCCCAAGATGGGAGATGCATGCTGAAAGCAGACTATAGACCGAACATGGTTGCCACTCAATGCCTCTTTTGCAAACCTCAGCAACCAAAAGGAGAGAGAGAGCAAAAGGGAATGCCCTACCACTGATGCAGGATGGAATGCGGGGGGGTGGGGAATGAGGGATGGAAGTGATACTGGGATCATTGGGGGTGGAGAATGGGAACAGGTGGAAAGAATGGTACTTGATCATTATATAACTGAAACCCAAGTACAAAAACTTGTAATGTCCACAACTGTACCTCATGGTGTTTCACTAATTAAGAAAAAAATTGGTAAGCAGTCAAACTAATAAATGCAAGACAAGATTAAAATAATAAATATCAAAGTAAGCTCCTGAAGTTAAATGCACTAAGATTTAAGAAATTGACACCATAATTAAATAAAAAATATTGGTACAGTTAGGCAAAGTTGAAAATACATAAACAATCTTAAATATCTTATTATACTCCAAACACTTAATGAAGATATGAAATGGTTTATTTGAAAAAGTTAGACTGGAAACCATCTCAGCTTTCTTTGGGTACTGGGAGGCCAAAATGATTTTTGAAAAAGTGTATGCTACTAAATTTGGAGTCTTTCTTATTTACAGGAAGAACAGTGAAGTACTAAAAATGTAGCATTTTTAATTTAACAACACACTTCCATCATTGTTGCCTCATATTTTTAAGACTATCCACATACCAAAATAATTATATTTGATAAATAAATCAAAGCTCTATATAAACTTGTACTAGCAAATATCAACTTGAAACACGTATCAAGATTGATGCTGGTGCTTGCTTGCTTCAACAGCAGATATACTAAAATTAGAATGATAAGAGATTAGCATCGTCCCTGCACAAAAATGATACACAAATTTGCAAAATTTATTTACTTATTACTTATCATTACTTATCTTCAAAATTCCTTATAAATCGATGGACATGGAAAGTGTCATGCTGAGTGAAATGAGTCAGAAGGAGAGGGGCAGGCATAGAATGATTGCACTCATTTGTAGGCTATTGAAAAAAAAAACATAGTATGAGAATAAAATCCAAGGGTAGTAGAATCAAGGGCCAGAGAGACTGGTCAAAGGTTGGAATCCAGCCTCAAGTGGTGGGGTAGTGGGCAGTTGGTTAGAGAAGGAACCACTATGACAATGGTAGTTGGAAATGATAACTCTGGATAAGAATTTCATGCTTAAAGTAGGTAAAGCAACAAACATGATGACCCCTTAGTACCCATAGAGCAAACCATAATGCCCAAAATGAGAGGATGAGAAAGAAGAAAAGTTGCCTCCACAGTGGCAAGTGGGGAGCGGGGATGGGGAGAGGGGTGATGGGAAGGAAACTAGGGATTTTGGTGAAGGGAAATATACACTGGTGGAGGGGTGGGTGTTGGAATATTGCATGACTGAAATTCAACAATGGCATAGCTTTGTGGCTGTGTATCTCACAGTGATTCCATACTAAATAAGTAAAACAAAACAAAAGATTGATGCTGGAGTAAAGAGTTAGTACAGAATGTAAGATCTCACATGCTGTAGACATAATGGGATCTCTGGTATCCCATTTAGTCCCCTGACCACCTTTATGAGTGATACCTGAGCACAGAGGTAGGTGTAAGCCCTGAGTACCACCAGTTGTACAGAAACCAGAGCAAACAGAAATGAGCTTGATGCTATAGTTAACTTTGTATCTTTGTTTTTATCTTGTAACTATTACAATTTCTAGGGGTGACTATAGGTGAGAATGAGATATTATTAAAAATTGTTTCACAACTTTCATTAGTTATTTATAACTTCTAAGTGATTTTTAGTACAAATTTATTGGTGTCTTAATACCAACCTAATTTACAGAATTCCATTTTTCCAGATATGCCATGAGTTTTACGCAAGTTTATTTTTTTGTTGCTGCTGTTGTTGTTTATCTTTTTGTTTGGGGGGAGACATACCTGTTGGTAATCAAGGCTGATTTCTGGCTCTTTGTCAAAGATTACTTCTGGTGGTATTGAGAAAACCTAGAAGTGATATTGGGAATCTAACCAGGATAAGTCATGTACTATGTAAGGGTCATATCCACTGTACTATCTCTCTGACTCCATAAATTAGATTTATTATACTTTGTAGCTAATGTAGATTTATCTAAAATCTTTTTTGGAGGAGGAAGATCATGGTCCTAACGGTACTCATGAGTGTGCTAGGAGTGATTATCAGTGATCAAATAAGCCTGAAATTATGAGGACTTGAAAATTCCATGTTGCTATGGCCCCACAGTCCACACATTAGCCTGGCATTATGGCAACACTCAGGAAACTTCAGGGCTACAAATGTTGATAATTGTGAGGATGATGTAGTATCTGGATTGAGCAGTATATAAGACATGCATCTTAATTACTTGCAGTATCTCTCTCGTCCCTCAGATATTTTTTAATCCTCGTATAGAACCTATGTGAATGTTTTATAACAAAAGGAAACTAAGATTGAGTAGGAAATCAAGGTTACTAGCTGACTTTGATGATGGAAGATTATCCTGAATTAGCTAGTTGGACACAATGCAATCATGAAATTCCTTAAAAGTATATGGCTACATATATATCACACTTCTTTTATTGTCTAATCTACTGGAGAAATTGCTATAGCAGAACTGCAACTATAAAACTGTGACTTTAAGTATATTGTAAGCTATGACAGACCAATTTAAACAATGAATAAAATGCTATGTTATATATAGCTAAGACTGGTTATGGAAGGGTTCGTAGAGAAATCTAACATTACTTGCTTTGAAGATAAAGAAATGGCCCACGACCCAATCAATACAGGAAGAGTGTTAAAGTTAGGTACAGATAGGAAAGAGATCTTCTTTCCAAGAAAACTCAGTCCTACTCACACCAAGAATACAATTCAGGGAAAGCCCAGACAAATTTCTGACCTAGAGGAACTACAAGACAGTAAATTTATCTCATTCCCTATGAGTAAGTTTGTGATCATTTGTTATAGAAGAAGAAGAAAAATTGCTAACGGTACTCGGAAATGGGGTACTACTATGAAAATACCAAAAATGTGGAAGTTTCTCTGGAATTAGATAGTATGATGAGGCATAAAAATATTGGAGAAATTGTGATATAAAATATCTGAATTGCCTTGAATAAATGGTTATTAGTAACGATGCTAAGAAGCTTTATTTGGCAGACTCTGAACAAAATGAGAAGCATGGTAAACATTTATTATCTCAGAGAGGACACACATCAGTCTGAACAGACAAAGAAAAATAAACATTAAATGTACTGTTGGGGTGAGTTAACAAGACAAAAGTGAGTGTACTTTTGAAAATGTGAAGAAAGGGGATCTCTGTTACATAGTTACAGAAAGCTTAGCAGAATGATGTTTTGTAGTTAAATGAAAAGGAGCACTTATTAATGAGGAAAATGAACATTCACCTGAAAGGATTTTAAGCAGATTATTGAAAGAAATATCCAGTTTCTTCTCATTACTCTCAATAGGAGAAGAACCTTAAAAAAACACAAAGTAGACCTTCACAAAATGGGAAATTTTCAGCATTTGAAATGAATAGAAGACAAAAGTTCAGAGATCCACTCAGAGAAAATACTGATGTTGGTACTATTTTCTCATGATTCAGGTGTTTTGGTGGTAACTTAAAATAACAAGCCAGGGTCAGGGATATGACTTGGTGGTGAGGCACACACTTGAGTGAATGAGGTTCTGGCTTCAATCCCCAGTACAAATATATATATATATATATATATATATATATATACATATATATATATATACATATATATGTAAGTTAGCAAAATGACAAACTGAAAGTGTTAAGCGTGCATATATATACATATATATACACACTTGTGTGTATGTATGTACACATATACATTTATATACATATACATATGTAACAGTGAAAATGAGGCAAAAAAAGCAACACCTTGCTAATATTTTATTTTTCCACGAGAAAATCACAACAGAGTTAAGTGGCAAGCAGAATTATCTGTTTGTTAAACAGCCTCAAGTAAAAGATTTCAGTTTATTTAGCACTAAGGGCCCAGCAGTAAGAACAAAAAGTCTAAGAGTAAAATGGAACTGGTTAAAGTTAAGAAAATGCCTTCATGAAACTTTTTAGGAATATCTAAATCCACCTCAGATAGGAATGTTATTATGTGTCTGAGTTTGTATCATCAGGAGCTCATGCTGATACCATGACTAATTCTCCCCAGAACTCACATAAAACCATTAAGTTTAGAGGATATAATGGTGAGCGATAGGTACATAATCATGTGTAGTATGTTTGGTAATGCCTACCAGCACCCTAAAATATTCACATTCTAATGGCTGGGACCTGTGATGTATGAAACACATGGTAAAGAGAACTGAAAGTTTAACATGGCATTAAGGTTCCTAATAAACTCACCTTAGAGAGATTTCCTGGGGTGATGCAAGAGCTTCCTAAGTAATTGAATGATACTGCATAAAAAGAGGAGATAGGAGAAAGTCAGAGAAAGTTATGACTATAGAAATATCATCAAAGGTCCACAAATCAGCTTTAAAGGTAGAGAAAGGAGACAAAGCCAAAGACTCTGGGTGATCTCCAGAATTTGAACAAACCTAGGAATGAGACTTTATAATTTCCAGGAAAGAATGTGGCTCTATCAATTAATTTTATCTAATTGATAACTGTGTGTGAGTTCAAACTCTCAGAAATATAAGTAAATATATTTTGATTTTATAAATCATTAATTTTGTAGTAGAGTCTTGAGGGAGACACTGTGGTGGAAGAGAGAGGGAGAATCTGATATGCCTAAGATGTTAAAGGGCTAAATGTGTTATGCCTAATCAAATAGTATTCAAAATTTAGTAAAATATAATATAACCTTGCGTTAACCCAAAGTAATGTGACATTTTTATACATTCATGTACCCACTTCCAACACCCCTCTGAGATCTACATATTTCTAATATAAAATCAACTGCCTTTCTTTAAAATAAAATTCTAAATAAAATTGAAATTACCATTTGTACCTTTAGAACTCCAAAAGATTTTAGGGAATCTATATATAGGTAATTTTTTCTCTACTTGCTGTCTATAAAAATGCACAGAAGAAAATTGTAACATAGACTCTGAATCTTAGGACTGAATGAGTCTCTAAAGGCCAGGGTCCCTGACAATAACTTGAATGCTTGTATTCTTTTCTTAGCAGCCTTTCAGGCATCTAAGTATGTCTTTTGTAACATTCTATTTTCTGAGGCATTTTATTCTATTCAAGATTCATCAAATCAACACATTTTTTCTTGTTTTTATCTATATTTGCAGTAATGTTACAGATATGATTAACTAGTAATCCTAAATGCCACAGACCTTAGCTGGAGTAGTAATGTGTTATTTTTAATAGGAGAATAGATGAATTTTGGAACAATTTTATTCTTTTGGCCTTTTACTCCAGTCTTTTGTACATGATTCTGCCACACTGAAAGTTGGCATTTACTGCTTTTGTCCATCTGTCATAATGGAATTTTGCCGGTTTTAAAATGTGATAAGACAACTATACTTGAACATAGTGCCAGTAAAACACAGGCATGATTTTTAACTTTACATAGCATTTCTAGCATTATGCTTTGGGCAATATAGAATCTGTGGCAGACCTGATAGTCAATGGGAAAAAAGGAGTCTGCTTTCACTCCATGGCCTGCAGATTATATGCTATTTTCATGTAAAATTTTATTTTTAACATATCTCATGTTCAGCAGTGGAAAAGAGAAAAGAACACTGTTGGGATTTATTCCATACCTATAAAAATGTTCAAATTGGTTCAGATACTTTGTGAAATTTTTAAGCACAAGGTGATAAAATTTTGCAAATAAATAGACTGCTTAGCTTCATTCTATGC